TTTAAAGTAGATACATATGCAAAGAGTTACATATAAATATATCTTAAGCAAACAGAAATTCACATTTTATAAAATGGAAACAGAAGAATATAGTATTTTGGAACGACTGTTTTAGATGCTTCATTAGTACTGTATTTCCCTTATTCGATCTTTAAGTAAATGTTACGGAACCTCCTTCTTGGTTTCCACTAACGCTGTTTTCTCTGACTTTAGTGTCCTTGATAAAGTCTCGGAGAACTGTAAACTACTTTCTAGGTCTTATCAGAAGAGAAAGTTGTCTGGGAAAGTTACCACTACAATCCTTCCTTGTGAAGTGGTTCAAACACGTTATCCACCGAGTCCTCCTTAAAGTCACTTCTTGAATTGAGCTACTTGAGTATTTAAAAAAAAAAAAAAAAAAAAAAGCTAAAAAAAAGCTTTCTTCGTGCCAATTTACACAACTTCCTAAACCATTACCACAAACCATTTTCTCTATCTTAGCAAGCTATGTATTCCCTATTTGCTAATGTGTCTGTCCAGCCCACCTGGGTTCTTCAAGGCACTTTACTGCAATTTTGATGCACACTGCTGTACTTTACAGTGTAAGCTCCTCTAGATAGGAGCAGAGTACTTTCAATAACTACAGGACAATACTAAAAGAGATTTGGGAGCTTGTATTGTACAGAAAAGATATGGGTGGATGATTTAGAGTAGACAAGTGGTAAAGTTTACTATTTCCTTAGCAGACTAAAGTGAAACAGCCACCTATTCAATATACACAAAATAAACGAGGAAGTTATAAAAGCAATATTTAAAAATACCTGCAAATATTTCAAAACTTGCTCTTGTCAAAAGCTGAGCACATGCAAGCCCTACAGGCCTCCATTTTAAATGATAAAGCCAGCAAGATCATCCTGTTTCAAGCTTCCAAGTATCAAAAATCAGCACAATTAAGAAAGCGCAAGTCTGAAGCCAGAAACACAAGGAAAAGCAGAATTCTCTGCTGGTCCATGTCTACCATTTTTGCAGCAAATACACTGTGACTTCTGTTCAAACGTTTTCCTTGTTTATTTTCTTAAGTTTCTATTTAATAACATACTTGCACTTTTCTACAAATATCTGTAGAAAGACCTTGCTGATTAAAGTCTGTCTTCATAAAGCTGACAGTTTAACAACTTTTTTGCTACGCTATTTTTTATGTACTGGGCAGAGCACTTCGAAACGATAAGCTATTTAGACAAGTTTTGCATCAAGAAAAATCACTGTAAGCTTTCTTTCCCTCTCTCATACTCTGAGGAGCTTTACCTTTCAAAACTTGAAATAAAACGATGATTCCAAAATCCCTTGAAAGCCTATTAAAATACTGAGGGAAGCAAAACTGCCATGTCCAGGTGTTCATACTCCTTAGCTTACTTACTTTAAGCTCCAGGGATAAATATCTGAATTTTTAAGCGTCTTCGTCAAAAAAATTCTGACTCAGCGTTCAATACGGTTGTCACCTGGATCACCAATTTTTCCTTCCAACTTTTTAAACTTAGAAAGTGGTTCTGAGAAAATCAATGCTCCTTTCTCCCAATTGCTCAGACAAACAACATAAGTAACATGAGCACTAAGATGAAACGAGTCACCTGTGCTGCCCTTGAGCGCTAAAGTACATCTAGTATCATAAACTTAACAGTATATTCTAGCTTTTATTCGTCAGTTGTTCTAAAGTAACAGGATGCACAAGATTTCAAAGGCCTCATGTATACGTGCATATATATGCATATATTAATATTAAACAGAGGCAAAGCCAAGACTTTGAAAAAAAGTACAAGAATCCACTTATGTCTAGACAAACAAATACATGTAACAGATGGGTCAGATGTCTGATGAAATAAATTGCCAGGCCTTCAGAATGAGTGAATCAAAAGAAAGAACACAGGAAGAAAAACATCCTAAGCAGAGTAACTTGTGAAGCACGTACAGATACTGAAAACGCTATACTACCGTATTCCAAACTCTCAGGAAGCAAGGAGAACAAAAATGAATTAATATATGCTTTGAAATAGGTCAACAAAATATGTCCACACAAGCTTTATTAATGCAATCATAAATTCAGTGAAGCCAAATGGACAGCTCAACTGGTAAACAGAGTAATAAGAAACACTGTCAAATCCAGTTAAAAACGATTTGCAAACAATAGACTTCCTAACTAATGAGCAACACGAATGTAACTTAAAAATCAGAGACCTTCAAGATAAGAAAAGATCCACAAAAAAAAAAACAACAACAACAACAAAGGACTTAGCTATCAAGAAAAAGGTTGTTGCTTTTCAAAAAATCATCCTATTCACACGAATATTATAGGGAAAAGAAAATATACTTTCCCAGCTAAGGAAAAATGTCATCGCTTTAGACCACACCATAAACTCATGTAATGCCAGAGGGACTTTCAAGAAAACCAAAAGAAAAAAAAACAAGCAAATTTGGTGGCAAGTAGAGGAAATAACATACAGCTTGTTTTTATTTAAATTATTTTCCTGTTAGCCCTTAGGCATATACTTGCATCTACATTGCCAACAGTTTTCGGAACATTTAACTAGAAACGGGACTCTTCTAAAATGCAGTAGCATCACACTAAAAAGGAGCCCCAAACTTTAGCAAAACACCAGCAGCTGTACATGCAAAAAAAAGAAAAAGCAACTGCAATACCTATCAATTAAAAATGAAAATGCCTTACATGAAGAATTTCTCCACTTAATGCTGACCTTCCACTACACACAAACTGGCATAATCAGCAGCTTATACTTTTTTGTCTCTTCTTCAGCGTAGCGACAAGTTGAATAGTGTTGAGAACAGTGAGAAATGATTACAGAGCTCTATAGTCTGGACACAACCAGCAGGCACAGGATTTCTTCGGCTCAGAACCAGTTACATAAAACTTAGAGCAGCCCCGACGTTGTTGCTCCAGGGTCAGGAACAGAGAACTGCAGATGACTTTGCTCTTTATTTTTTGAAAAACTAAAAGCAAAAACTTCCCTGGATATCCCCCAGCGTGACCACGGGCAACATTTCATCTAGCTGCTCCTCTAGAAACAGACAATCACAGTTGAGCTCTTACTCTGTTCTCCTGGGGATCTCACAAGAAGGACAGAACAGAATAACCAAAACAACTTCTCTCTTTGTTGGCTGACTGCTGTACTACAGGGAAGAAAGCTTCTCAACAGTTTCAGCAAAGACTGAAAACAAAATATGCAAAATGGAATTTTTTCATCTCTCTGCATTACACTGAAAACATGTTACAGGCATACCTAAAAAATTATTTGCAGATTTTGAAAAGATTAGTAGAGATACTACACAGTGGCACATGAAAAGACAAGATCAAAATGGAGCTATAACACGAGAGAGAGAGAGAGAGACAGACAGACAGACAGACAGACAGACAGAGAGCACGCGCGAGAGAGAGAGAGAGAGAGAGAGAGAGGAATTCCTCAGAATTTGCATTATGAACATTACACAAAAAGAAGCGTACTGATGACATGAAGTTAAGTTACCATCAATATAGAGCAGTACCAGGGTACCATACAGAGAGAAATGGAACAGAAATAATGGAAAAAGGATGGAATTCAATAGAACAAAATACAAATTTGATCACTGTAATCAAGGATTTCTGTTTTAAATTAGAATAATAAAATGAAAATTACTATAGATGGGCATGAACTGCATTTATTCACTAATCACAAAGTGACTACAAACCACCATAATAATCAGCCAAAACAAACTAATAAAAAAAAAGTCTGTAAAAATGCCAGCAGTGAGATTTAAAAAAAAAAAAAAAAAAAAAAAAGCCAAATGAAAAAAGTAGCCAATTTTGGATTGTCTTTCAAATAATTTCGTATTATTTTTAGTACACACACACATTTTTTAACATCTTCTGGCTCATTTAGAGTCCAATTCTGTAAGGTTCATTCATTCTGAATAGTATGTTGCTTTGAAAGTAGAGGCACAGAAATCAAATTATTCAAAGTAAAACGCTCATTCACGCATATGTACAAGTAGAAGGCACAAGGAAAGCTGTACTGTACAGCTGTACTGGAAGACTAACTTCAGCAGCTTTTCACTCCACGCTATGGAGAACATTTGCTGATTTCTTCTGCATCATTGTCTTTTCTTAATATAACGTATGAAAACCTTTAAGAATCAATTTAAAATAAACCTAAGTATGCTCACTGGAAAAAACAGCAAAAATCATACAGCTCTTTTGATAGTATAACTGATGAATTCAGAACAAACTAAAACTACTAAAATAATCTAATAGATATGATTAAATAAGACCAAAAATATAGTAAAACATATGTGAAATAAATCTTTTCATCATTCCAAAATGCTGCTCACAAAGTGACACCAAAAGAAGTGCACCCCTTTCAAAGGCAACCACTTTTTCAAAGAGTGTAACATTTCAAATTAAGAGATCAAACACAAATGTTTATTTCTGCCAATATTTAAAATATATCAATACTTGAAATAACAATCTATGCTTTGCAGCAAACATTAGTTTTCCTATACTAAATTGGTTTTACAACTAGTATGAAAATAATTAAATATTTTATGACTACATTTGAGTCTCACAGTTCCACAATATAATCTAGAGGAACGAAAAAGCATTTCCTCTATTCAGCAGTGCATTTGCTAATTTGAACTCAATTTGTCTTTTGTCTGTATTTTCCTTTGGTCAGCTAGGTACTTTCTACACTCTATAGTTACCTCAAAATTGCCCCTAAAGTCAGTTAATAATAATATATTTCATGCAATTCCAGAAGCCTCTCTAATATATCGAAACAGTAGATTTTATCATGAAGACTTGTCCAATGCAAGCTTATTGTGAATGTGAGCTCAGTGAACTGCATAAGGATCTTTTTGGTCTCACCTCATGTCATATCGATTTACTGTCTTTTCTTCTCCCTTCCTCCCCTCCACCCCCATCCCCCGCCCCCGCCAAATTTTCTTACTCGCTTGAATGTTCATGTCATTTTACTCACTTCTGTGCTCCCTGAGACAACAGCTTTGTCCACGTTCACTGATAGCTGCTCTTCAGTCTGGCAGACTCCCAAAGACCACTCTGCACAGCGGTGATGAGCCCAGCAGTGACCTAATGCATTATGAGAGAGAAAGAGCTTCAGCTTTACAACTTTCTCCAAAACTACCTGCAAGTACGGAACGTGGTTTAACAGTAAATACTTTCCAGATAAAATAAATAGTCTTGCTTTCTCTTATTCTTCTTGTTGCAATAATATTTAATGCCCTTAGCATCATACACTAAATATCCTGTAGGCTTTTTGATACGCGAAGCATCTTCCTTTTCCGTTCAGCATATTCTGTATCTTTCCATTTCTAATTTTCAGGTGCCCAATCATACAAACTTAACAAGGCGGTGTACAAATAACGTTTGTGTGTATGACACACACACACACACGCAGAGTTAACTGATCTTATATTTCAGCATAGATAATATTTGTTTTTATATGTACTCTTAACTTATGATTCTCAAGGACAGGACCCAGATCCTGGGTATATTTAGAACACGCCCAAAGGATGCTTTACAATTCTACGTTGAACTTTTAAAAGGATATAACAGAACTCAGTATGAACAGGTCACAACATAAATGACTAACAAAACTGTAGCAATACAACAAACATATTGCACAGAAATAACTGCAAATGCTTTGCTGATAAATGCAGACCTGCATAACAAAAAAACAGACAATAGGCAGAATTCAACAGGTATCTGTCAAAAGTCAACTTTCTAATTCAGTCCTGGCAGACAATATAAATGATGAATATTTCTTTTCTCATCTGCAGGAATTTTGTGACAGCTTTTTATTAGATTCAAGATGATGCCTTTTACTAGCCGCTGGAATTAGGTCCTGTAGTCGGTCAAATTACTCAGTAACAAAACCCAAAAAGCTCTGTAAAGGAAGTCATCTCCAAATAATAACGATGGCTTGAAATAATTTAGATTGATTAGCCTCATGCTACAGTAAAACTATTGAAAATCATCCATTTTAAAAAAATTTGTAATTAGGTTCTTCTGAAATCAGTTTCCATAATCACGAAAGAATAACATTTATATACCAGCAAAAGTCTGATCGCACATGAATTTATATTTCTGAGGCAAAATATGTGAGTGGACTACTGGCATCAAAGCACTTAAATACAAATGCTTTCTGATAAAGTAACTCATAACCTGATACGAAGAAAAGTTCCTGATTAAAATGAAATAGCAGAAGGCAAACTAGACAGTTTTCTGACTGATAACCCAGAGACAATGGAAACATGCAAGTGTACTACACATTTACCATTCTGTCAATATCTGATCTTGTAAATCTTTCCTTGTATTATTTTCTGTAACCCTGTGCTGGCAGCATGAGATTAGGTAAAGGTAGGGCGTTAGGCCTTTAAGAATTACATTAAGCCGTACCTCATTTCTTTCTTTTTCTTCTCCCCAAAATACAATCGCGATACTGAGATGAAGGTACTACTTTCTAAACAACAGTTTTGCAGGAGATTACAAATACTTCCCCATATAAAAATGAATTATCGCTCACAAAGCTTCTGTCCAGTACTTGAAAAGGAAGCTATCCAAAAACACCAGGTAACATTGGCAAAAACTAAGAAAGCACAAGCAAACACTTGATGAACACCAGAGCACAGAATACCAACAGCTGAAAGACTTCATTTATTGTCACCGTAACTACTGTACTACCTACCAACAGATAGGAATAAGAGAAGAAAGGTTAGTAATGTTATCTTACCTGTTGGCTCAAATAAGGCTTCAACATCAATGTCATCTGGTAAGCCAACTAGACTGAGCTCATCCCAAAATTTGACAACCTGATCGTCAGAAGCAGTTTGGGTGCTTACACTCGTACATGATGCTATACTCGATCGCGATCTGTACCAGGGTGCAAAAAAAAAACAGACTTAGAAGAGTCTACGTTCATGCTGAACTAGTGAGATATTGTTATATGATTCAAAACTCTGAGAAAAAGAGCAAGAATTCTTCTAAGCATGATTAAAAACGTCCATCATCCATGTCCATGAACAAAACCCCCTCTCCCTTATATTTTCACAGAATCACAGAATGGTTGAGGTTGGAAGGGACCTCTGGAGATCATCTAGTCCAACCCCCCTGCTCAAGCAGGGTCCTCTAGAGCACATTGCCCAGGTTCGCGCTCAGGTGGGTTTTGAATATCTCCAGGGAAGCAGACTCCACTACCTCTCTGGGCAACCCGTTGCAGTGCTCTGTCACCCTCACAGCAAAGAGGTTTTTCCTCATGTTCAGATGGAGCTTCCTGGGTTTCAGTTCGTGCCTGTTGCCTCTTGTCCTGTCACCGGACAAGACAGTTCTCATCACGGAGAAGAGTCTGGCCCCATCCTCTGGGCACCCTCCCTTCAGATACTTGTACACGTTGATGAGATCGCCTCTCAGTCTTCTCTTCTCCAGGCTCAACAGGCCCAGCTCTCGCAGCCTCTTCAGAGGAGAGGTGCTCCAGTCCCCTCATCCTCTTTGTAGCCCTCCGCTGGACTCTCTCCAGTAGCGCCATGTCTCTCTTGGACTGGGGAGCCCACAACTGGACACAGCACTCCAGGTGAGGCCTCCCCAGGGCTGAGGAGAGGGGCAGGATCACCTCCCTCCACCTGCTGGCAACACTCTGCCTCATGCACCCCAGGAGACCGTTGGCCTTCTTGGCCACAAGGGCACATTGCTTGCTGGCTCATGCTTAACCCAACATTTTAACCCAACACTTTTTCCAATAACAAAATGTTCAGTTAGAGCTTCTATTCAGCGGGGAAAAATAAATGCTTGCTAAAGCACCTCCTCGCCTGGCCCGTTCTTTTCTATCTGTTCAGGATACATGCACTTCTTTTTTTCATTTCTGTTTAATATTAAAACTTTTTGTTCAATATTAAAATTTGCTTACCCCTTAGAACAGAAACCTATGTAAAAGCAAGCAGTCTGTGCTACTCTCGGGAAGAAGAGGCGTGGAAGTAAGAGGGTGGTGTCAATGGAGGGCATCAGCTGCAGCTTTCATATAGCCCTCTCTTTGAAATCTTGTCAGTGCTTACCGTGGACCAGCTGTTAGCATCCTCAAAGGAGAGGGCCATGCCAGCCAGAGGTAAGGTGCCTGGCTAAAATACAACTAATGAGTATGAGGGGGAGGGTAAAAAAAGACAAAGAGTGGAAAAGCTGCTTGGAAAGAGGTACATGGGCTCTCTCCCATGTAACCACTGTATTAAAAAAAAAAAAAAGTGGTGAGGGAGATTATAAAATTCAGCATATAAAAAAATACTGTACTGTGCTGACATGAGAGGATCTACTTTATAACCTTATTAAAAAAAATCATGGTCAAGCAAGGCACAACCATCATTTGTCTCCCAAATTCTAATCTGACCGAAAGATTATTAACAACAAACAGATTAGTCCATTCACAAATGAAAGTAATGATTCCTCCTGTTTTATTTCCTGCAAGTAAAAAACTTTCTTGGATAGCTAGGGATTTGCATTAGGCTGCTGACTACGAAATGTGGTCTGGTCTGATGCTCCAAGGGTTGGTAGGAAAGAAGGTGCTGCAATTTCTATTATGATACTTTGATTTTTATTATTCTTCCCCATTAATAACCCAAATTTGCACACGTGCTATTACTTCTGTGTTTCTAGAATTGAGACGGCATGAAACTACCTCTTATTCCTGACTGCTTTGCTATTGCTTATAACCTCTAAAAAAAAAAAAAAAAGGACATGGAAATTGATATTGCCAGGGGAAGATAAATAATACCTTGCTGCCAATAAGTAAAGGCAAGAGCTACAGTAAACAGTGCAATTCTAACCTGTGATAACTTTGTCTTCCTGAGTACAATGTGTGCTTTACTGCAAAGATTACATTGAGAAGGATGTGGAGAAAAAAAAAAAAAAAAACCCGTAGCTCATGAAAAAAATCCCTCTTGCACACCAATGACAGCTTGAAATTTTTCAATTATTAAATAACCTAATGACTCATATCATGACAGAGGCTGAATACCACACCCCCTAACAGAAGGTGTTTCGTCTAACATTGTCGACACGAGCTTCCCCTTCCTAAAGCATTTTATTAAGCCATTCCAGGCAACAGCGCTAGTTCCTGAACTCTCCTGATGCTCGCTCAGGCCAGCTCTAACATTCAACTCTGTTACCGCAGAATACAAGAGTTTATAAAGGATGAAGAAAGAGAAAAAACGAAATCCCAACTGACATGGCATTTTTTTAATATGAAAGCTTTCTCACTAGATCAAGCTGATCCATTTTAAAACCATCTCAATTTACTCTGCAGTTTCGTCTTGAACAGATGCACCTTTCGCCTTTTGTATCCCGCTTTTTTCCTGTATGTAGTCTTTTTGAAAGTAGCATTCCCCACGCTCATAAACAGAGTAACTCTGCGAGGGGAGCGCGTCAGCGTTACCACTTTCAAGAGAAGCAATTCTCCTCCAGGGGCATTGCACAACGCGCGTTTTGACGCTGCTGACCTCAGACAGCGTATCTGACCAAACGTCAGCAAGCACGAAAGCATACTGAATGGCTTCTCCACCGAAAAGCACAGTCCTCGCAGGGTGAGTATACCTGAAACGCTAAGGCTAGCGCAGCCAACTACACTCGCCTCACTGCGGTCCTTTCTGTGTGCCCCTTGGTGAGACCTGGACGCCCGGCACCGGCCCTGAGGAAACCGGCTGCCGCGCCCCGGGGGGG